CAGTCAAGAAATACATGTTCTATACTTTCTCAGGGCAAAAGAAATCGCAAGTATTTTCTGAGAGCTGCAGAAACTTATTAAAGGATAAGGAAATCTCCCCGATTGGCAGAGAATCATCATCAGAAGCTTCTGGTGCTGTGTACTTGATCTTCAACAGTATCAACACCCAAACTGGCTTGCTTAGAAGTCAGACAGATGTCGCCGGAATCATCAATCTGACGAATTGAAACCGGTAAGCTAATCACACCTGGGCTGAATTTCTCTCACATGATTTGAAGTGACACAGATCCACTTCAACGAAAGAAAATTGAGGCAGCATGCACAGGTATACAATTCAAAGAAGTCTAACAGAAGCCACCAGCAGATCTCTTAATATGTGAGGAAATCCCGCGGCCTGAAAATCTTGCGGGATACAAAAATCCCGCGAATACAGTAAAACTTACGCACTTGAAAAAGCCTATTTTGGTAGCTGAAGTAAGCGGGGGTGCGTAAAAAAATTCGGAAGCATTAAACAAGTATGAATGTTATTTTTGGAGTCGAATTTTCATTCAGCAGGTTTCTGTATTGGAATCCTGAAAATCCTCGTAAAGTGAAATTTATGAAGTTCTAGGCTTTCAAGAATGTTGAAGCCCAGATATCAGGCCCCACGAGATTTTCGGGCCTACAGGCTTTTCGAGCCGCGGGATTTTCTCCTGCACCCCATAATACTGTACGAACCTTGAATCTGAACTCAGAAGATGGAGGCTACCAGCACCAACATTAATGCTTCATTAATCCTCACTTCGGCGAGAAAAGCGTTCACGTTTTGCCACGAAATGCGTTGATCCTCAACTTGGGCTCCCTCGTTAGAATCAACTTCTCGGGCGCGTAATGGAGTGATTTTAGAAGAGATGCAAGCCCATTGTTCATCAGTGATCAAGGAATGCGCGCCAGACGACATCGCGACGAAAGTGATCCTTCGAATCCGTTTCCCGGCAAAGATACGCAAGCAAGCAAGCGCTCTTGGGGCACGGGTTTCGGTTGCTACACCAGCCGACAAGCCGTTGACCTCACCTAGGCTCCGAGCCCCGCCACCGCCACGCGTTTCTTTGTCCGGCCGGGATCGCGACAACCTTCACGGGAGCTTCCCTCCCCGTCCCGGCCGAGGCCCTCTTATCTTCAACCTCGCCGAGAACAAGAATTCCTCCAACCTTCCTTTTTTCTCTCCCTGAATCGCTGGCTGGTCTAGACAGACGTTACCGCCATGCGAAGATTTTTGCCAGATTTTGAACATGAAATTATCACTTCTCGCGTAACGCGGGCATAGCAAAATTTCCCCAGTAGTGCGCCGAAACAGAAAGCCTATTCCACAATGAATGCCGTATCTCAGAATGATCTCGCATTCCAGACATACGTCCTAGTGACAAAAATGCTAAATAATGAATATTTGAAATTGTACATACGACAAGTGACACCAAAATTCATGGGGTTGTGGTGTTCACGAGTTATGACTCAGAAAATCATGACTACTACTCTAAAAGCAAAATGTCTCCTAGTCTGGTAACGTCTACAAGAGAATTAGACGAACTACAAATGCTGTACTGAAAATTAATTCTAATGACGTTGGGAAGTCGTTATGCGGATGGTTTTTTCTGGCATTCAATGAAGGAAATTTTTAAATCTTCACTGTACTCGACAACAATTACTGTACTGTATACCAAGCACTGGGAAGCCAGGGGTTCTCCGAATTGATCACGAATAGCATGCAATGTTTGATGAAGTCGGACTGTCTTCGGCAATACAGAATATGCTTTTGTTTGGGACGATGCACACGATAAAGGTTCCTCAAGACAATTTAAAAATAAAATTCTTTGGGTTAATGTAGCGATACTGTACAGTAATCTTCTGGTAATGTTTTAATGTACATACAGTACAGTACTATGTTGAGGACGCTTCCCTGGCTTGAACATGTACAGTAATACATCTTTCAGAATATTAGCTAATTTTACACAATGCGGCCAACTGCAGAAAAATTCAAGTCGTCGTCACCATCAAATGATAAAAATCTTTTGTTCCAGAAGGTTCTATCTTGGCCTGAAACTATTGGACAGTGGGAAAGGGTCAAGTTTTGGGCGCCAGAAGGAGACATGTTCCATCCATCTGCCTCGCAAGTCTTGGGATCATTCCGATGCATTGAAGCGTATAGAATAACAAGAGCCTATGAAATTTTAAAATTCAAATTCACGTTCAGTTCCTGAGGACGAATCTAAAATCGACAGTATGGCCATGTCTAATTCCACGCGTCTCCCACGAGATTTTGACCGGAAAATACGTTCGTGGAGGCGTTCGGCTATTCCTATTCTGATGGAATTACCACAGTCCATCTTTTCTTTCTATCCGAAAGACGGTTGAAAAATCCGATCGATGCGAAGCAATAGTGTTAATTGATTCAATTTTACGACTCCAACTAACGAATAGAAAGCTACAGACTCACTTCTTGATGCCATTTCCAGCTTCATACTTGCAGAAGTAAAATTTTCATCGATCTGACGATGAAGTTCGCGATGGAATCTGAATTCAGTGATATGAACGATTGCATACAATTCGCCGCGGATTCACTTTGAGACTCAAAATCAAGAAAATTTGGTCTCAATCTGAACCTGCGACGTTCCGTCAGTTCAAGCCTCGATGACTTGAAATCACTCAATTGAAAACAAACAGTCAAGTCGCAAATGTGAAACGACGCAGTGCCCTTACATCGACCATGATGACGAAAATGTCTGGGTTGAATGCACTGAAGGACGCAGAGACTGGATACATTTTATCGTTGATGATTTGGACAAGCTTCGAGAGAATTTCAGCTACGTTATAGCACTTCGTGTTACTCCGAGTCTGAACAGACGTCCAAGAATATTTTCGGCGACAGAAGTCTCGTAGGACCGCAGGGTTTCTGCTAATATTGTATGAACTAATCTTTGTTCTTCCAGATTCCACGAACAGATTTACGTCACTGGACGACAAGAATGGAGCACTTTCGTTTTGCTAGCGAACGAAATTAAGAATAAATTACGGGTTTGCACGTGTTTTCACAAAACATAGCCAAGATTACACATTTACGATGTGATCCCAACGAGATGCTTGAGCATGCACTCCAACGCATCACATAGTAACGGCCGGAGCGGCACGAACAGAAACTCTGCCCACAGAGGCCGCTCCTGGGAGAGCACCACTTCCACTCAGCCAATAGCGCACCCGCACGCCAGGAGGCGCGCGCAGCGGATGCGCCATGACACTCCCGAGAGTCAGTCACTCCTGAGCCGCGGAACGAAGAACTTGTTTCCCTATTTGCGCGGGAATGAACTGGTCAACGGTGAAACGATTTTCTTACTAACTGTAAACCTCCGAGTACGACTACACCGTACATTTTCGAAAGAGCTGAAACATGCTTGCTGATGAAATGCGGGAATATTCGTCAAATGAAAGAAGTGGGTTCTTGCACAGGTTTTCGAAGCGCTGAATATCCGCGCCTCGATTGTGGATTCACGTTGGTCTGGCGCTGGCTTGTGAAGATGTTATGGCGTCCGCGCGCCTTGCAGCCGTTGCCCTCACGTCGGTTCAAAATCCTCAGTATCCTTGTGTCTCTACTGGTGGAAGGTGGAGGGTGCATGCTGTCTTAACCTTTTCCGTTTTCAAGAGGTGGGAAATATTTTATTTTATTCTTCCAGTGAAGCACTTCTGATGGTGTTTGGTGTTGTAAGTTTTCGTTATATTTTGTTATTCAATCGCCGCGTTCTTTCCTGCGCTTACCGCGCGTTTTTCGCATTAATGGAACACAAGCTTAAACTCGTTGGCGTTTTTTATTACTGAAAAATGCGCCGCATGCGCGGGGCAGTTTGAGCGTGATAATCGATGTTGTTGAATCAGGTTTTGTCTGGAATTCTGCTTCAAGCACTTATGAATCCTTTCAATAATTTTTGTCGAGCCTGTATTACTGTGATTCAAAATTTTGTGAGATTTGGTGCCGCACCGTTTTGCATTCGCAGATGCCACAGCGTACGGTTTGCTTATCCATGTTTTGAAAATATTCCTGCCGGCTGCGGTCAGCCGCCTCGGAGCGAACCGTTATATTCAGTGGCTGTTCACTTTTCACATACTCCGGCATGGAACATGCCGTCCATTTCACACAATTTTAAGACAAGATTCTGTTCTATTTCGGGATCACGCGAGTCACTTGAGGAGCGCAGTGACAATTTTAAGTTGTAGCAGAATTATTTGGAGCAATGCAAGATCCAGTTTTTCACTTGACACGATATTACCATAGCCTTGCCCTGACGAAAAAACTGTAAGATTCAATATTTCCTACTGGAATGCGATAATACTTTTTGAAAAACGGGAGTTTTTTGTTTGTGTATTTGAGACGTTGGAAGCGCTGAACATCCTCCGCGGCGACCCTGTGTTGTGGATTCACGTTGGCTGGGTGCTGGATGGGGAAGATAGTGTTTTGTCCGCGCGCCTCACAGCCGTTGGCCTGACGTCGGTTCAAAATCCTCTGTATTCCTGTATCTCCGCTTGGGGAAGGTGGAGGGTGCCATCCGCGACCTTTTTTTTTTCGCTGACAGCGCTTGAAAACATATAGGGTGTTTCGAACGATTAAAGCCCGTCTGACTGGTGTTGTAAATTACAGCTATATTCTCGATTCCATAGCTTGGCTCTTCCGTGTGTAAACCGGGCGTTTTTCGCATCTTGTGGGTACTGCAGTGTTTTTGAGACCGCGCCGGTGTGAATCATGCTTTAAAAATGATTGCAGTTGCATTTAATGCTAGAACGTTTTATCCCTGTCTCTGTTCACGATTGTCGAGATCCCTTTAATGCACAGTGGTTCTCAGGTATTCGCGGATTCAGTGAGCTGACGATTTTGAAGATTTCCAAAATGATGCCTCTTGGATTTTATGCATGCGAATCGTTGGAACACTTCTATTGCCTCAACAAAATACGAGCTGAAGTATTTATTGTTCATGTTTGTTTTGCATGGTATTTAATTTCAGGTGACACCCATTTTTATATAATATGTATGTAATGTGCAGATAGGTTGTGTCACGTCTTTCCTCACATTTTTGTGCCCCTTTTGGTTCGTAAAGTCGCAGTCCCGCAAGAATCTCACCGACTCGATTTCAAGTGCCTCAATTCCTCCATTGATTGCTGTAATTTTGCCTGAAGGAGGAACCGGAGGCTTCAAACTTGCAGCTTGAAAAGTGAGTAATATTATTTTTTTCGATGAACGTTTCGTATGAGATGAAGTTTATTTTGTTTCCGCATACAATATTAAACCCGGAAATCATGGTGTGCATTCCTTCAGTATCGAATTTCTAGTTTCTATAATTGATTCTGCTTGCAGTACTGATGTGAAATACTCTCAGGCTATTACATATCTTTAAAAAAGATATCTTGTGACGTAAGATTGTATTGTTTGGCTTTTTAAAGCTTTTCTGCTTTCTTTCATTCCGTCCTATAAGCGTTGATGCTCGATGAATAAAATATGCATACCTGTACTGTATTTCCTTTGTAAGCATCTGGATCGCCGGTGTCAGAATCTGGACAATTCGACGACCCGAACTCGGTGCCATGAAATGCCAACGTCATTAGGGATACAATTTAATTAGCGAGAATATAACAATCGTATAATCGCGACGAGCCTTCCTGTGAGTGCGCGCGTCATACTAGTTCTGACTCTGGGCGACTCAAGTGAATGTCCGAGTGCGATGCTCCCCAGAGATTCGTGGAATTTAATTCTCCCTCGTAGGCATCCTGCATTTTGCGGGAAAGAAATGTCTGGGAAAATATAGAAGGCGGGGAGCTCGCTCAAAATGGTTTCGGTACGGAGTGGTGGACTCGGGCCTCTTTTCCTGGCCTCAGCTGTGATCACTCGGGAGCGTGCTGAACAAAGGCGGGGAACCCTGTAGCTGTGGGACGAAGAGGGAGGTGAACGGCTTTTGGAGTAGTGTAGGACGGGGTGTCGTATCCCCGAACGAAAACGGTTCTAGGATCTCGCATAATCGAATACGTTTTTCGAGGAATCCTTATCCAATAATTCAACACAAATTATCTGGTCAACGTCAAAAGAATAAATTAGACCTAATCGAGTCACTGTCCCTCTTGTAAGAGAAGACTCTTATTTAGTTTTAGTCACTCTCGGAGTCTCGGTACAATGTATCTTTGGGGAAATATGATTAAAAACGATTTCTTGTTGCCTAGAAAAGCTCCGCCCGTGAAGGGAAGAGAATTTTCCCTGTGTTTCTTATAACAAAGTATGCTTTTCCGTACGGTTGGAAATTTATTTGATCTTTTTAAATGAGTGAATGTTGTTGATTCTGCAAAATACCGTTCCCAAAGTTCCATCCTTGTGGCGATTCTCCAAGGCGAGCTTATTACATTTTGTTATTAGTGCTGAACAAATAAAATCTTTGAGGGGATGAATATCGTAATTTTCCTGAATTTTCAATGTCAACATTTTTATGAAATCACGCTGCGCCAGTCGGAAGGTGCTCAGAATTATTGTATCATATGAAACCAAGTCCTTTTCATGATACCGTACTTCAATCCATTGCATTTTAATACTTTTTTTATGTAAGCAATTTGATAGCTTCTGCTTTTTGAACTACAGAACACAGCCTTGTGTGATTCAATTCCCGGAAAAAAACTGTATTTCAATTCTGATTCATTCTTGAATGACTCATTGAATATTTTCGACATAACAGTACATTGCAGATCCGTTCTCACGAACGAACAGAAGCCATTCCTACGATCCTACCTCACAGCCTGTGAAACTCTCTCAGTTCAACACCGGCGAAAACATTCGCGTTGCTTGTACAGTTGAACTGATAAGAGACGGGTCCCGACCAGAATAAGTCTTCACGGCTCCAAGAATTGAAGGGCTTGATTCTTCGCGTGAAACTTTTCAGCGGGTCTCGTCGTAGCAGCGCCGAAACGCTTGGCTGTTACAGTATTTCACATCCAATTTTGTTCTAGCGAAATACTGCAATTATTATTCAGCCTTCCTGCGAATCACATGGGAATATAGAAGCACCGTTTGTGCTATATCCTTCAAAATCTGTGCGCTCTTTCATCAATATATTTTACCTTATGAGTGTTCTTCCTGAATGAATTATGAAGTTACATCTTCGTAGGCTTGTTTCTCTGGTGTCAATTTCTTTTTCAGGGGGTGGGCTCTGGGTTGATTTTATTATTCGATCTGGTTTTTTATGCAGTCTTCGGGTGGATTCATTCAAGGGGTAAACGTGATTCACCATTTACCTGCCCAGGACTTTCACGTTGCACCGCTTCAATGTGGAAACTTCCCAAAATCTCTGTATGATCATGATGGTGTAGCAAACACCTGCCTAATTTGTATCCGTCCAGCTGAAACTTTCTGATGTATTTGGGTTGCTGATCGAAGTAAATGCGAGACTAGAATCTCAATACCCCGAACTTTTGGCCGCCTGTCATGGGTTGAATAATAAAGTACAGTACTAGTACTGTATTGCTTTAATACCTTTTTTAGATTGAAGAATATCTTGATTACTGACATTCTCGCGACTGTAGAAGTTAATCACGTTGGATATGTTGCCAATTCTTCAGCAAATGAATCTGTTTTTAGAAAATTAACAGTACAGTATACAGTACCTTTACTGTAATTACGTGAGAGATAGCACGCCTTTTTCCATTCAGAACAAGGGGGTAGTTTAATATTATTCGCATATTCATGCAATTTGTGTGAATATGCGTCTATATAAGAAAATCTTTCAGTTCGCGATCCAAAAATCGATCCATCTTTTTTTTCGTCAGTTATTCTGGAATTGAAATTGAAAATTATCGATAAATAGTCAGCTTCCAGCAATTAGAGCTGGATGAGTCATTGACTGAAATTAGAACATCAAAGGTTGTGTAATTTTGTGACGGTTTTTCTTTTCCTGGGGAAAACCTAAATGTAGTCGGAACTTGTAGGTTCCATGAAAGCCAGAACGCCAGGAAAGTAAGTTGATGTATATATTCGCCTATTAATAGAATTTTAATTTCGTGCATGGAAAACAGAAAGGGTACTTATACATGGTGACTCTACAACGAAATCAACGGGACCAGAAAAAAATAATTTTGTAGATAGAATATTCTTGTGGAGAACCATTGAAACATGGGGAGAGAATCCTATGAGACAATAAAAGGAATTCGTTTTAAAGAGATAATCTTTTTAGAGAATAGAGAGTACATCTGTATTTGCGTAAATACGGTAGTCAGAAGTCGGATTCCATCGCTCATGGAATCCGACTTCTGCGCGGTTAATCAGACTTCTGATGGATTCATCGTACCGTAGTTCTGATTGGTAGATCGCGTAGCAGAACAAAACTTCCACAATTTCGGTAACGGTGGTGATGATACCGATGAGGGGGCATATCTTTCGTGGTGGATGAAGGGATTGTTCATTTTGAAGTCTCGAGGGTTTACCGTATCGTTGAATTTTGCCTGGTCAAGGAGCCACCCGCGTGGGGTGGAAAAGGAAGAAAACAAACGAAACTCCACTTGAGTTGGAGGGGACGGGGAAGTACCGCGTATGTTGGGGTAGATAACTGACCGTCGTCCTTCCCCGGGTTATCGACAGGTGCTGTGAGCCGGACGCAGGGAGCGAGAGAAACGAACGCTGAAGCCAGTCAGAGTCAGACCTTGAACTCGGCGGCGGTGAGCGAGACGCGAGGGCGTGAGCGGGGGAAATGGCCGCCGTGTTGGCCAAGCGGCATGCGAACCAGCCGCCGCTCGGCGCGGCCAACACCCGGACTTCGCCCGGGGACGACGTCGGGAGTCGGGCTGACGACACCGCGGGCTCTTCCGCACAGGCCACTGCTGCTGCCAACGGCGACCTCATGTACATTATGCACCCTCAAGGCAAAGACATTGAGTCAAGGATGATGGGACTCAGCATCGTGAGTACAATGCGTGCACTCCTATCCTGTCTCGACTTCGTCAAGTAAACCAACCCCTTGAATCGTTGACACGTGGGTTCATCCCCTAGTCAAGTTTGTTTTCCTCCGCCTTTTCTGTCTTTCGATGTTTTATCGAACGAAGAAGTGTAATGGGGAGTAAATCGATCAAAGCATGATGTGTTGGTCTGTATGTTTGTGGCTCGGAAGCCATTGCTGTACAGGGATTCCGAAAGGTTGGTTGGCCTGATCGATTTCTCTACAAGCAGTCCTGTATATCCAAGCGAAAACTCTTCTCAAAATACTTTAATAAAGTCTAATCCGATTCACGCCTTTTTATGACGTGTGCACGACGCAAGATCCGCAATATTTTGAGTGCGTAAAAATGACAGATGGAAAATGGTTTGCGCAATCTCGTTTCATCTTTATTGGTTGTCGGGAACAAATCGAATAACGGTATTTTGTCTCTTCGTTCGTGACTGGAGTGTTCAAAAGTACAGTATACTGTACTGTTACAGTATATGTTTTTATTAACTGCTGTTGGTTTTTAAATCGTCGGGCTTTGTCCGAACAGAACCAGAGAAGTGCGAAAACTTGAAATCAAGAAATTCATTGGGAATCAAATTAAAATACTTTGGTCGGGAGAGGTATTTTTTAATGTTTTCAATTCTGCTTGAGCTAATAATTCCCATATTGTGCCACTTTGTTAATATTTATATTGCCCATGTGCACAAACAAGGCTAAAATTCGTTGTACTGAAGCTACAGAGAATTTTTTTTTTGTTATAACGAATTGATTATAAGATTGTCCATACGACGAAGCTGTCAGGACTGTTATCGAAGATTTTTTTCGCCGTTACGGAATATTACTCTTATTTTCATGATTCATTGATTAGCTAACGTCGTATCACATATGAAAAATGTCAACATGCCACCAGCTTTGATTACTCGGGCAATTAAGTAAATTGTTTCGAGCTAATCTCGGGCAATCAGTGAACCAGAAATGTAAGGATGTTCTGCGTCCTTGGCGATGTTAAAGCCGACAATTTTGACGCAAAAGACGCTTGGCTGGTGGATGGATGCACGTTCAACAAAGGACCCGCTTCTGTTTTTGTACTCTAATCGTTGGTTTCTCATGTGAATCCTCGGTGTTGCAACACTTCCAAAGCAAAGCCCGAGCCCGTTTTGTATCTTTCCGTGGTGGAGTTGGAAGGCCACCTTTTAAAAGTTTAATTGAGTATTGCGAATCGCCTGTGACCCAAGCCATGATTTTTTTGTCAAGAAAATTTTTTAAAATGCGCAGCCGTAAACCATTTTCGGAACCCAGAAAATGTTTGTTCCCGCTTTTGGGACCTACGTTCCCGTTAAAAAATTTTTTGCAATGACATATACTCCATCGTTTCAGGCCTAACTTATATGTTCTAAAGGTCTCCAGAGTTCGAAGATAATTTTGCAAGAAGTGATGATAATCACGACTCAGCGAAAACAAATACCAATTCCTAACAGGAGTTTTTTCCGTGAAGGGTGGCACCATTTTCTGTATTTCTGTAAAAGCCCAAATTTTAGAAAATCGTGCAGCAATTAGTTTCGAAGACATTTGCTTCAAAAGTAAAAAGATGTATACTGTATCACCTTTCCGTGTCCCGTGGAAGACGAACTTAATATTCGGAATGCATCGGCAAAAATTATCTCTGCTGCTGCAGGAAGTTGCCCCTTTATTTCCAAGTACAGTATTTTTGAGGATCATTTTATATTACCTCGAAACGCAGTGTTCATCAAGTCATTAAAACAATGTTGTGAACCGAGTCCACGTACCATTAGGCAGAGGTACGCTACATAAATTCTGCGGCGAATAGACAATTGTATGCACTACACTGTTACGAGACTGACCTTGCTTTAAAACTAATTGTTCACTCTGATTTAGGGCGAAATCCTCGGACTTGGATGAGAAAATTCTACCTGCAGTGGTATTTATGAAGTAATGTAAATATAAATGCTTAATCAAGTAGATCTAGCAGCCCATGCACCGAGCGCTCTGTTACGTGGCGCTCAACTGGCTCTCCATTCTTCCGTTTTAACACGAACTCGTGTATATTGCCTACATATTCCTAATTTACTTTCGAACAATAATTTGGTGACGAAAAAACGATGAGCAGTGATACGAATGCTTCTCCTTTTTTAAAATTCGGTGCCTCATGGGTTTTTTTTTATCACGATTCCAGCGCGACTCCGAGCGAGATGCCGAAGTTCAACAGAAGCAAGCGTCTGATGTGTCGGGCAAGGGAACGAGCGGACACCCTGTGCAAAATGGGCTAGGGCAGCACGAGGAGCTCAATGAGGGATCCTATGGGTAAGAAATGCTTTGTTCATTTTACAAATCTATCATTCATCTGAGTTCAAAATCCTGCATCAAATATCTGTGGAGTCTTGTAGTGAAAAGATTGGATATATACTGTGTTTCACACTTATCTTGCTGAAAAATGTGAATGCTTTGCTTAAAATTTTTCATTTTCTGTCCGAAAAACTTAATGACCCGCGCTAGAGTGAAAAATCTTGAAAACGCTACCCGACTGCAGTATGATACTTATATGTTGTTAAAGGTCGTAGTACGCCATTATTTGGCCATTGATCATGTTCACGTTAATTCATGGATAATCCTACCTAGGAGCAACGTTTTAACATCGAAATATTGTCAGTAATTTCTTGCGCGATGATGATCATTTTGTTGCCTTTGAAAGTTGAAAGAAATGCGAATGCTTAAAAATTGGAGATGATTCTTAGAAACCCTGCATTGTGGAATTCTGGGCATTCGATTCAATTCGAGATGATTTTGGCGTGCCATCCGTCTTATTACTGAGTACAGTACAGTAATTGATTTTTGAACGATCATGGAGTAATGTGTCCTTAGTTGATTACTTGATTAGGATCCATTGCTCAAGTATGTTTTATTTTCAGATAATACAGTATTAACTATTATGCATCGGCATTTCGATTGAAATGTTCGTTGGGCGTTGCGGAGGCTCGAAGTAATTTATGTAGGATTTTCAAGCGGTAATCGACTACGGATTATATAGATGCAAAATACTGTATTTCGAGTGGGATAATTAAGTGAATAAACGATTCAAAAATTGAACAGAGCTACTTCACATTATTGACCTTGTGATGATTAACTGTCAGGGTAGGAAGGACGATCTTCCGTGCGTGTGGCTTATTTTTTCCGATATTCAGAAAACCGTGTTCGAAGTAGTACCCGTAAATATTGCCAAAGCGTATTCCGTGACTAAAAGAGGTTGTTCTCGTGTCATATGATGACGGGCTTGTTGGAATTTTTTCTTTAGGAACTACGGAGGCCGAGTGCTGTCGGCGAATTCTGGGAGCAGGCAAGACAGTCCGTTGGACGGCGAAGTGGCGGTGTCTAGCGGGCCTCGAAATGGCGCCTTGGATGCCGAAGCGCGACCGAATCTCATGCACGGGATGATTCCGCAGTCCCCGCACCATCATATGCAGAATTCTCATCAGCAACAGATTCATCCGGAATCCAACCAGCACCAGCAGCTCGCCCAGGCTCAGCAAGCAGCCCAGCAGCAGCAGCACCATTCTCAGCACGAGTCTGTTATGATGCACCACGCACACCACGGAGCCCACCAACAGATGAATCCGCATCATCACCAGCAACAGGCACAACAGCAGCAGCAGCATCCCATGGGTAACGGAATGCAGCAGCACGTGCAGCAGCATCAGCAACACGTACATCAACAGCAGCAGCAACACATGCAGCAGCAAGCCGCTCATCAGCAGCAGCATCCTGGGGGTAACGTGGGTCCACAGCACCATCCGAACAAGTACATGCCGGTGAGTCTCGCCTTTTCTTTTTTTACGTTTCACGGTACTGCGGTTTCCTTTTTTTCAGATTTCTTCTCTCAGGTATCATCTTTTTCGTGCAGGGTAACACCGTACAGTCTTTTCGAAAAGTCTTTCGAATCTTAACTTCTGTCCAGACTGATACTGATCAGCTTAATGAAAAACTTAACAAAGAGTCGATCAGAGGAAGAAAAAGCAATGATGAAATCACCTGGTACAGTACAGTAAATGTGCTGATTCGTTACCTCCAGGTGAATTGGAAAGAAATTTGATTATCGAATAACCGGTTTATTGTATTTCTTATGTACCAAGTTTAGAGATCTTTGTACGTTCGACGCCAATTTTTTTATGATCGGTTTCATATTCCAGATTAGATTTACCGTACCGCAGTTCTTCCCTCAACAGTATGTACGGTTCATTTCGGATTACAATTCGTGTATAATTTCGTGAGTGCTTCTAAAGTAGTAGGAAAAAATTTGGTAGTTGAATTGGTCGATATCTCAAATCTTTTAAAGTTCTGTGGAAGATCATTTGAGGATTCGGGGCTGGGGAATGTCACTATAAGGATTCAGCCAGAGTTTCTGATCCGTCCCAAGATTATGGAAATTCAAAATGCCTCACGAAGCTGTCGAAGGAATAGTGTACTTTTTTCAGTCATGCTAGTCGCTTTTGCTGGTCTTCGATTTTCGAAACACATTAGAGTAAAAGTAAACTAACCGTTCCGATTTCTGCACTTGAAACTGCGATAACTTTCTGTTCGGCGATTGAATGACATACGGTGGAAGTACTGAAGAAAATTCATGCATCTACGAATGCTCTGTCAAATTGTGCTTCAATGGGACCGGCGTTGATTTTCGAAGGCTGATGCATGATTCTTTATTTATCCTCGTGCCAGGGCGGCCCCATGAATGAAATGGTGATGGATGCCGGAATGTCGCCTTTCACCCCCGACGGGTATATTGTTCCTCCGATGGATTCTCCAAATATGATCACCCCCCACGATCACCACCAGGTGAGTACAGTACTTTGTACTTACTACGATTCAAATCATGTGTAATTCCGTGGGACGTTTACCGACTTCTGACGTATTTCATGAAACGAAAGCAGTGAAAAGAGCTCGAAAATTACTCCTGAATTTTGCCGTCTTTTCTATCTCTGTTTTGAAGTTTTCATCATACCTCCTGCATTGATATACGGTTCATTCGCGTTCTTGGACACTTTTTCCCTCACTTGCTCTGCACCAGTTGCTTTCTCGTGTGGAGTGTTCTCCATTTTTGTCATCTACATCTACTATTCTTGGGGTTCGGCGAATCAGACGGACTTATTATGCACGCCTGTTCTTTTCCTAGTTCCGGTTAAACCGATTTTTAAACATCAGGGTCTTCTAAATGATCACTGCTCAACTTTCCATGCATGCAATTCATCTTTTGGATCATGTTAAATTGCATGATCCCAATTGAAACGATGTGACTAGGAAAGTAGGAAGTGTATTAAAAAAACCAAACCCTAGCGAAAAAGTTGGCGGTTTCTCACGAGGTTTCTGTGGGTTCATGTGAGTTTTGTTCTGGTTATGCTCGCCTCTAAATGACTCGCGTACTGGTAGCAAAGTAAGTGCTGCATTTTTGTACTTCCTGCGTTAAACGTGTGATTTACACACGATGAGCAGATCATTCGTGTGCTTAAGAATTTGTTTCGTGTGAATCGTGGTCATTTCCGTTTTCATTGTCTGTCTACTCCAGCTTTTTCGCGGTTCCGTGATTAGTAGGAACTTCCTTAATAAAACAAAAGTTTTTAGTTCAATTCTCGCACGAAAGGAATGTTTCCTGGTCGTGAATGCTCGTTACTTCCTTGGTATTTACGGCCTTGATGAAAGAAAACAGTACGTGGGATAGAAAGAAATACTGCGGACGTGTGAAGAGTTTTTCTGAAACTTCAAGCTCAACGAACTTGAGGCCAGAAGGCAGCTAAGTAAAAAAGATACTTTGGGTCTTTTTTCGAAAAGGTTCAATTTTTCGAAGAGGCTTTCTGGTCTTCTTTTCTCAACTAATTATTTTATGGTTTGTGTTGAGAAGGTTACCGTATTGCTGATTCATCGAAGATAAAAGTTTTTTCCTGCTCGAGTCGCGTTGCGGCCAAGCATCTACCAATCGAAAAAAAATCCGAGGTCCGTTGGATTCTGTGGATGGTTTATTCTGCGCCTTAGAATCGTGTGATACATCTGGGGGAGTTCATTGATCTTCAGGGAACTGCGTCATTCTCAAGTAGTCTGTACAGTATTAAACTGATGAGGTCTCGGGTATACGGATGAATTTGATGGAAACCATCGAGGGTTGAAGGATAACTTGGGATGAGAAAGCATTCTTTCAGCTACAGTCTTGGGGAAATTCCCGGAAGAATCGGACTCCAGGAAATTCTGAATAATACTGTACCGAAAAAACTCGGGATCGGTGACAAGAAAGTCGAGAGGCACAACATCTGTAATATTGGATTCCCATGGTGAGCGATCCAATTCTAGAATATTTCAAAGTTGCATGAGTTTCTCAGCTTTCCCTGACTGCAACGCATCTCGGCGCCCCTTGAGATATAAATGTGGAAAGGAGATGTAGGTTGGGTTCAATGTGCGACTGAGTTAAACCATCGGCTCAAAACGTTTCCCAATTCTGTTTTAACTGATCTTTCCAAACTTAGAAATGATGTATCTCATCATTCGGTGATTTTCGAGTATCGTTCACCCATGTTGAAATTTTGATAAAACAAAGAATTTAAGTTAACCAGAACAGGTTCAGGCAGTAAGAGTTACCTGTCAATTCTGCATGTTTCATAAATTTTCGGAGGGCCAACTTGCCATCAGATGTTTCGAGTTGAAATTGTCGGTGGTGTGGTTTGAATGTCGGGCGTGCTCCTACGGGAAAAGGCATCTGATTTCGGCAATTCTTGCGTTGATGATGCTGGATTCTTATTATTCCCTAAATCATTGACGATTGAGCAAGAATTTTCTCAAGTTATGGCTGCAATTTAGGAATCATCAGCATATGAAGACAAGTCTTGCTACAGGCGCGACTGATTCCATATACTTATTGAAGATTCCGAGGTTTTTTGAGTGTTATGACTCGAAGGATTTGGGAACCGAAATAAATTCTTAGCCGAGACTAAATATTCAGCAAGGATTGATGAATGGCGCTTTAAGATGAACTCTTGATGTTGGTGCAGAGAAAATTAAACGACGCCAAGGCGCAGCTGATTGATGTGATTCATTTGCATATTTTTCTGAATCCAGAAAGCCTCTTTTTATTATATCGATAGAAATAAATACCCTGGACGATAACAAAGCGGTTCTCCCAACTTTCTGCGAAGTCCCGCGTACTCTTATTCAAAATGCAGTCACTCCAAGAATATGAAAACGAAAATCAAAAGATCGGCTATTATGCATGAGAAAAATCAGCAAACACGGTTTAACATGTCCATAACATGAGGAAAGAACCGTTTTTCTCATTAATGCCATCAATTTTTAGGACTTAGTAGGTCCAAGGGATTATTCCCTGGAAAATAATTTCAGGAAGGTTTTATACCATCTATGATGAGGGTTACAAAAATGTGCGCCTCTGGGACGATTTACTGCGGACTGAAGAAAACTTCTTCATGAAAGGAGGAGCTTTTTATATTTTGAAATAACAGCAGGTGCGAAGTCGCCGGGAAAAAAGAAAATAAACCTCCATGGATGTCGTAGGAATTGTCCCATCTGTTGGCGAAACTTCAGTTCAGAACCAAGCTTCCTATGTACAGTATTTTACGGGGCATTCGCTGCTGAGCGAGACTAGTGTCTTCGCCTGGACAATCGGTCGTTCTCGGTTTTTCCCAGCGCCGACTGAGATGGAAGCCGTGAACCAGGGCGTTCGTGCGGCCGCGGAGCGATGACTTGCGATAGCCGAGCCCAATGCCAAGGACTCGCGGGTCAACAACACCGCTAGACTCGCTCGGTTGCGTGTGCGCCGACGAACGAGTTGCGTGTTCCGCGCCCGCTTGGAACCTGCGGGGAGGGATAGCCTTAACGTCCGGGGCCGAATGCTGTGCTGTGCAAGCAGCGCCGAACGGTTCGTTGAAATGGGGGGAGGGGGGATTGGGTTTGTTCAACTGCCTCCTAGTCAAGGTTGGCTATCGTTTCGATCCAGCAGCGACTTTCCTTTTGAACAGGGATGCTTGACGCCCCGTGCTTGGTGAACCGATTGCAGAAGTTCGTTGATGAAGGCAAGAGGCTCCCTTGATATCCTAGGCCGAGTGGGAATTCGCCCTGAGTTTTTCCTTTGCGCATGTTGAGAAAATTTCTCATCTAGGCCTGGATTTAGCGGGAAACAGTGAAGATATCGAAAGAATTGCTTTGAAATGCAGTACCGGGATCCTTTTCCTTGGATTTTACGGTACTTCCAGCGAATTTGGAGGAATGGAAAAAAATAAGACACATTTTATCTTTGACGCCCCATGCTTGGTGAACCCATTGCACTCTGGATGAAGGCAAGAGGTTCCCTTGATATCCTGGGCTGAGTGGGAATCTGCTCACGATTTTTCCTTTGCGCATGTAGAGAAAATGTATCATTTGAGCTTGAATTTCGGTGGACACAGCGAAGAGATTGATGGAATTGCTTTGAAATACTGTACAGTAGTTAGCAGGGATCCTTCCTTGGGTCTTCTAGGAAATTCTGAGGAATTGAAGAAAATGGAAGGTTGTCTTAAGATTCCGTCAAGAAATCGCTTAAGCTTTTCATACGTTCGAAGCAGGAAATACGCGATAATTCCGCATTTCATCTAGGTCAGTGTAACGGTACTTTAAGACGTGGGGTTTGACTCGCTGTGATTTCGAATAGCTTTCTCAGTACTGTCATGTAACAACGTTAGCCATAAATGTAATGGGCGTGGCAAGGTGAGTTTGAAGAATTTCATTTATTCAGTTACGAACTCATTTTTATTCCGATGCTATCTCTGCACAACTCGTTTGTGGTTCGGTTTTGAAAATCGCGCTATTGAATTCGAAGTACAGTACCTTCAGCATAGCGTTAAAAGACGGGGACTGAGAAGACTGTAGATTTATCGAAATGTGCTGCAATTTTGGATGGATTTCCGAAAGTGAATACAGTATTTTATGAACCACAAAACTCTGAAGTATTCCCAATAAGTTTTAAAATGCAAAGCGTATGTACGCGAATATAAGTAGTCCCTAGATTTTTCATACCCGACTGTGAAATTTCCAATAATTCTAAAATAAGCACCCACATACCTTCCTGGTGCTCTGACTTTCCAGGATCCAAAACATTTCGTTCGAAATTTATGGATTCCCTAGAAAAGAAAAACTGTTCCACATTACCCGTGCTCTTCCCTACAGTCAATGACTCATTCATCTTGAATTGCCGAAAGCTGACCCATTTCTTGTTTCCCTTTCAACTTCAATTTTGAAATAACTTATGAAAATAAACTCTCAATCGTTTTGTGGGCCGCGAACAGGAACATATCACGGTGCAGTGTATACGCATATTTACTCGAATCGCATAAAATATGTTTATATTAGCACCTCTTAGGTTTTATCCTTATAAAATTGGAAAAAGAAAGGTGCTTATATTCGCGTTTATACAGAACAGTATTTGTGATACCTATTTTTCTGAATACAATATTGCCTTCTGATTTCTGGTTGGCGGCACATCATGCCCAGAATAAATAAATGAGCCAATGGGCACGAACGACCTTCGTATGCATGTACTGTACCTTATATCACCGTAATAATTACGTGTAGGATTTTCTCACTGGATGATTTAAATGTTAATGAAAAGATATGAAACGTAGGATTTTCGTCTGCTGGTGGTCTGCTTCTGAGACTACAACACACTAATGTACCTGTATTGTGTTTCGGAACGTCGTGGAGCGACTCTTCATCTATTATTTTTCCTTGACTCATCCAACGTCGTTTGTTTCCTCGCACGTTTCATAGAAACATATTGCACATCCACCTGTGTCCTCGGAACGTCG